ATAAACTTTTGTACACTATTAGAAAAGATATTGGACTTAACCTAACAAAACCGGCTTGTTAGGGGAGGATTGCTCTCACCTTATTAAGTGGATCATGTAAATATCATTAGTCAATGTGAGACTCTAATACGTCACTTCATGCACAGTGTCGATCATGCCAAATAACTGTGAACAAATCGATATTGGGTGTACTCAACATTACAAAATTGAGTCTGCTCTAATACTATATTAGAAATGATATTGGGTCCAACTCAACTTAACAAAATCGACTTGTTAGGGAAGGATTGCTCTCACCTTATTAAGTTGATCGTGTAAATATCAACAGCCAACGTGGGACTCTAATATACACCGCCTAAAAACTCACTAAGTTCCTCCTCCACTTCTCTATAAATAGAACTGATCATACTAACTTCTTCACTCAACCACACCAGTTATAACAACTCCTCCTTCACATCCCACAAGTTTCAAAATGCAGGCATCTAAATTTGCAGTGTTCGCAGTTCTAGTACTGATTCTGGCCTGTGGAGCAAATGTTTCAGAGAGTGCAACGTGCGACCTAACTGCACTCAGCCCTTGCATGTCGGCTATCTCGTCGGGGTCTGCACCGTCAGCACTGTGCTGCAGTAAGATGAAGGAGCAGCAGCCTTGCTTTTGCCAGTATCTCAAGAATCCCAACTTGAAGCAGTATGTTAACTCGCCAAATGCAAAGAAAATTGTTGCCACTTGTGGGGTTTCTCTGCCAAAATGTTAATAATGCTTTCAAGGCTCTATTTCCAATTCCATAAAGAGTGAGTAGATGAGAATAATGGTGGAACTTTTGCTTCTCTATCTAATTTAGTTGCACCACCTAATAAGTTGAGACAGACTGGTTCAGTCTCACTGAACTGGCTAGTGTGTTTAAGATTTGTACTAATATTTTTATTGCAGTTGAGTAATTGGGATTGTCTCTTTATTGTGTCAGCCTTCAACTAATTGAACTGTTGGGTGACGGGCTTATAATTGGTTAAATTATTCACCTTATAGCATCTCCAAGAGACTCTTTAAACATGAAATGCTCTCTATTTTAAAGAGTCAACATTTAAAATCATACTCCAAAAAACTCTTTAAATTAACATTTTAATTAAAAGCATTAAAAGTATTTCAATTTTTAATATAGTAAAATAATATAAAGAAAAGCTAGTTAAAATAAAAGATAAACAAAAATAATAAATATTTTTTGGGATTAGTAAAATTAAATGTTAAATATAAAGAGTTTGTTGGAGTACTTCAAAATTTTAACTCTCTAAATTTATAGATACTCCTCAAATGATAGATCATACTCTTTAAAAATAGAGAGTCTATTGGAGATGTTCTTAACTTCCCCATATTTGAGTGATTATTGAAAAACAAAAACACTCTCGTGTGGTGGGATGACCTCGGAATTAAATATCTACTACATAGATAATGGAGAAACATCTTTGACAAAGCAAGTTTGGCTACGCTTGTTAAGTAGTTGTTTTGTCGACTTTGGTCTTTTGATAAAAAGAATCCCTCATTCACAAGGTAGGGATGTTTCGTTCCAATTCTTAATAAGGTAAGACAAATTGAAAATGCTCTTTACTCTTGGACCGATAGAAGAAGAAAGTAATAAAATGAACAAACTTTTCTACCACATGTAGATTTGAGATAAAAATAAAAAATAAGTTTATCAACACAAAAGTTGGAAAGAGATTTTGGTCGAGGTGTGTAAGTGCAAGTTTTATAGAGAAAACATCACCTAGACAATTTTAAACTTGACAAGAGACGCAATTTTATCAAATAATGGATGGACTAAATTTATTCTTATTCGATACAATTATGTGTGTAACGCACCTTTAATGTACAATACATCACTATGAAACCATTCTAATTACAATCGGAGAATAGGTAACAAAAAATTTCCTGCACTATTGCTATTTTTTCTTATTTTTCTCTACAAAGAAAAGTTTTAAAAAAAATAATCCTTGTGTATCAAACTTCATGAGTTTTGGAGCAACTTTCAATAGCCTATCTAAAGCACTGGTAGTCTTCCCATTATATGGAATAAAGCCCATCGTTTCCTTTGAAAAACTTGTCCCACAGAGGAGCCAAAGGCAAATTTTTCCCTTGCTACTTGCTAGGCAACTTTAGGTGCATGTTCCCCGTGTTAATCTGAGTAATCATTGAAGCTGTCCGAAGCAATTCTTCGCCTGTCATATCATGATGTACTTAGTGTTAGTATGTGTTCCACTAACGTTGTTGTGCAATAATGCTGTTGCTTGAGGGTGAAAAACCAAAGGAGATGATGTTAGACTATGGACACCACATATCTTCATATTATTATAATATTATTCACTTTGGGCCTAAACTCTTATGGATTTGTTTTTTGGGCTTTACCTCAAAAGACCTCATATCAAATATGGGCAAAATCACAATAAATTTAAATTTGGATAATATGCTAATTTTAAAAAATTTCCAACAATCGTACGATCGAATCCACAAATTGCTTATATCATCTTAAAGCTTATTTTGAGAACTACATTATGGGCATATCAAATTGTCTAAACAGATATAAAAAATAGTTAAAAATACGGTAAACGTGAGTCTTAAAAAAGACCTCTAACTCGTATTTTTTTTAAAAAAAATTCAATTATTTCATTAACATTTATTATTTTTACGATGCAAATTTCTCAAAATAATTTTCATCATTTTATTAGAAAATTTTATATGAAAATATAACATCAAAAGTTTTCGAAATTTTACATCAGAAAAAGTTATATCCCATGTAAATTTTCGGATGGAAAATTACGCGGGGTATGATTTTTTTGGACGTAAATTTTCGATTGTAAAATTTCTCTCAACTTCTTTACAAGTTCGATTGTGCCCCCTAAATTCAAAACTCTGCGTCCGCCCCTGATTGTCTATACTTATAAACTCATGATTCTTCCAATTTTTAGCCAATGTGGGACTTTGATCGCACACCCAACAATCCTCCCCTTGAACAAATGATCATCGAGCCTCCTCTCAAACCATTAATCATCCGTCCACTCTCTACCAACCAGGATTCTCCACTCTCCTCTTCACTGTGTTGGGGTCAGGGTACGACCATGAAGCATCCGGAACACACCACCTGTCCAATAGAACTCATCCATGAATCCCATCGCGAGCAGACCGAGGCTCACCACCTTCGTTCGGCATTTCGAGGAATTCATCCACATGGCTAAGTCTGGGGCTTTCTCTGATACCATTTGTTGGACTATGGACACCACATATCTCCACGTTGATATGATTGTCTACTTTGGACCTAATCCCTCATGAATTTGCTTTTGAACTTTACCCCAAAAGACCTTATACCAATGAAAATATTGTTCGTACTTATAAACCCATGATCCTCCCTACTTCTAGCCAATGTAAGACTTTGGTCGCACACCTAACAAATGGTGATATCGGAGATGGTTGGATGTCAAAGAATGATCGATTCGTTTGTTGCAAGTTTAAGTAGAATGTTCCTATGAGTAAACCAGAGCCAATGATAAGAATGGAGATAATTAGGCAATGGGGATAACCTTGGCAGTCAAGGAATGAATACTCTTTCTTCATCTCGAGGGAGAAGAGATTTCGTTTTGTGGGAAAAATGAGAGATTTTTAGTTGCAAAGCAAGATATATTGTTGCCTTTGCTGGTTATTGATGCTTTATACATTATTAAGTGCCTGTTTGAACCTATTTTTTTGGGTCAAAATACATTTTGAAATAATATTTTGTTGAAAAATGTGGTTGAAAATTAATGAAAAGTTTTAAATTTGCGTATAAATTTATTTTATGAGAGAATGCCTAATTAAAATGAGTTTTGGAAAAATGAATTTTTGAAATAAATCCATAGGAACATTAATAAAAACTTTAACTTGAAATGAGTAAAAATTGAAAATTCTTAGTTTTCAAAATCTATCTAATAAATTTTGTACCTTTGTGTAAAAAAAAGGGGGGGGGGGTAACAAAAAGTTTTAAATTTGAGTATAAAATTATTTTACGAGAGAATGCTTGATTAAAATGAGTTTTGGAAAAATGAATTTTTGAAATAAATCCATAGGAACATTGATAAAAACTTTAACTTGAAATGAGTAAAAATTGAAAATTCTTAGTTTTCAAAATCTATCTAATAAATTTTGTACCTTTGTGTAAAAAAAATTGAAAACGATTAATAACTTATTTGACTAATTTAGTCAAGTGACTTGAAATGAAGTTAATTATGAATAAGATACATGGAAAAGAGGAGAAGGAATAATTAAAATTTTGAAAAGTAATAAAATTGTCATGAAGTTGAATGCAAAGTGTTATGTCTATCTATACATAGGGCCTGATTTGTAATTTTCTATTTTAGTTTGTTCATATAAGTGGGCCTGGATTTTTTTTTTTCTTTCTCAATATTAAAATTCCATTAGCCTTCATCACGTGAAATTAGCCCGGATCTGATTGGATTAAAATCAAAATTTTAATATATTTCGATAAAATTAATAATGTGCGATTGAAAAATTATGGATCACACGAAATACATGATTAAAATTAATTGTTGATTTTGATTTAAATTAAAATTTAGATTTTAATCTCTGAATTAATGTCCCAATCCTTTATTGACCCACCTAAACATAGGCAAAAACTTAAATTTGGATATGAATATTACTTTAATTATAATTTTAAACATGATTATTTTTCAATTTTACAGCCCATATGTAACATATTTAATAATCGAGTGTCTAAAATTGATCTTATTGAGACAGATTAATGTAGAGTAATGTTTTTTATTTTTTTTTGAAAATTCAGTGATAAGATAATTTTTTTAAAGAAAAATGTATCTTTTTGTTATGCTTTACTAAAAACATAGGTAAATATCGTATTGTCCGCGGCACAAGTGCTTTACGAGGGAAGGTGGAGTTGAAGGAGAAGGGAGGGCGTCTTGGTGTGATTTACGGAGGATCTAACGAGGGCAAAACCATTTTTGTGTAAAATGGGAGACGAATCTGAAAAGAGGTTTCAAGCAGTAATGGATAAGCTGTTTCAAGCTACACCCAAATCCAAACCTAATACTGGCGACACCAGGTATAGGTCTCTATGTATTCTCTTTTATTTGCAAGGATATTTTTTTGGACAATCTGATTATTTGATAATCATACGCGAGTTCACTTTGTCATTAAACCTCGGGATGATTTTGTGTAATTACAGTTTTTTTTTCTATCTGGAATTTGAAATTTCACAATATTATGGTTTCCGTTATCCTAGTTTTGCTATTAAAAGGCTGGAAGATTGGAATGTCTTAATTCTCTGCTTTTTTTTTGTTAGATTGTTTCAGAACTATCTATTTTATTATTGGAAACTACATATTTTTAATTTCCCTTTTTTCATTGATTTCCTTGTTGGTGTGCGATTTAATAATTTTTATTGTTGTTCAATATTTCAAGTGAAAAGATTTCTGTATTGTTTATTTTGTTTCTGTTGATGATTCATCCAGTACCTATGGAGTTCAATCAATGAGAGGCAAGAAACGCATGAATTCATCATCTCCATTCACGTTAACCGATCTGAAATTGAAAGGCAATGTGTGTGAGGAATTGCAAAACTCAGCTTCAGGTTCAGCTGAATCAGCTCAGGCTCCACGGTGCAGGCCATGGGATCGTGGTGATTTGTTAAGGAGGTTGGCTACTTTCAAGTCCATGACGTGGTTCGCCAGGCCACAGGTTTTATTTTTCATAATTGCAGTAACTTTTTCTGACGGGAAACAATAATTTAATTGAACGAAAATTGGATCATTACAGGAAAATCGTAGTCTTAGTTCTTGAACTATTATGCTTTCTGTTTTTTGGTTTCCTACTTTTTCCCCCTGAAAATGTTGTCAGTCTTTTGTTTTTAAAATAAATTAATCCATCTTTAGGTGGTGAGTCCTGTGAATTGTGCTCGGAGGGGTTGGATTAATGTTGATATCGACACCATTGCCTGTGAATCATGTGGGGCACGTCTCCTTTTTTCTACTCCTTCAGCTTGGGCACAGCAACAAGGCAAGTCATGGTTTTCTTTCAATTTATTGCTATTTAAGAGTGAATTTAAAATTAATCTTCTCCATGGTTCTTTGATGGTTTATCAAAGTAATGCTATGTACGGATGTTATCTTATTTAATTTTTGTATTGTGTGATATTAGTTGAAAAAGCAGCTATGGTATTTAGCTTGAAGCTGGAAACTGGGCATAAACTACTTTGCCCATGGCTTAACAATTCATGCAGCGAAGAACTTGCACAGTTTCCACCTACACCAAGGGCTGTATTGGTTGAGGATTACAAGGAACGCTGTTCTTCTTTATTTCAGCTTTCAGCTCTTCCAGTGATTTCGCCTGTAGCAGTTGATAATATGAGAAGCCCTCAACTGGAGATATTCCTAAGAGAATTTTCATCTGATGAGTGTCATGTATCTGCTGAGACATCTTGGACAGAAAACCTCGGAAACAAACCTGACTCAGTTTCTTGCATCTTATATTATCAGGTTTGACAGTACAATGCTTGCAAATTCTAAAAGTTCTGATGCTGATAATGAAAGTTTTCTAAATAAAAAATGCGTAACTTAAAATCTCTAACACAGTCCATAAAATATGAATATTGTCATCCACTAATACAAAAAAGGCTCGCCCCCTGTGGCTTGTCTGTATGATATAATGTACATCCTGCTTTTATTTTCCAATTCTTTGTGTAATTTGTACTTAACTGTTCAAGTTTTAGTACTTAGCCTATGATTAGCTCATGTTTGTAAACTGTTTATTAACACTCTAGACACTTTTTATTTACACATTTCGAGGGACTCACAAGTACTACCATGTTATCCACTACTTATTATAATTTAAATTGTTTATAAACACTTTCCAAATATGCTTTTTATATTGAGCCTTTATTTTTCCTTCTTGAACAAGATGGCTCCATATGATGACAATACCCATTGTTATAACATTTTCAGTGCAGTGTGTAATATTTGAAAAATGTGCAGGCACTGAAGCTTATAAGTTTATGTGGCTGGGAACCTCATATATTACCTTATATAGTTGACTGCAAGGGCGGACAAAACCAATCTATCAAAGATGCCAATTTTGCTACGTCTAACAGACAAAATCAAAGAATTAGTGTTTATTCTTTGTGTACTGATGGCAATGTGAAGGCAAATGACGACAGTGAGGCTTCTGGTACCTTGCAGCTTGATCCTAATTCTGTTGTTCTGGATTGCAAGCTGTGTGGAGCTAGTGTTGGATTGTGGGCTTTCTCTACAGTCCCACGCCCTGTAGAATACTTAAAATTAGTAGGATTTACTGAAGTTAATGGTAGAAATGACTCTGCCCATGAGGAGAGCAGTGAACCTGGAAGTTCTTTGGGCAGTGAGATTAATACTGAAAGTAGGGAGGGTGCAGTAAATGCCGTTACAACTGTCTCCACATCACTAAATCAAAGATCGCAAAACTTAAGTTTCACGATTGCTGGTGGCCCTCCACCAACAAAGCAGAATTATAGAGCAATGATATCTTTGCCTGTCATTGGACAGAGTTTAAGGGCAAGAATTTCAGCTGAGTCTGTGCATGAAGATCATGTAATTGATAAGAGTTTGTTGCAACCGGGAGCAAACCAAGATATGTCAACAGTGGATAAAAATATCGACAAGGAAACTTCTTTAACAAGTAAACCTGATTTGATCCCAGAAAACTCATTAATATTACCTCAAACTGTTGCAGAAGTTGCCGTTGTAGATGAAAACTTGCCAAATAATGGAACCGTGAGCTATTCAGCAGTTGGTGATGATAGGCTTCATGCAGGAGAATTTTCTTGCTCAGCCCCAGAGGATAATATTGCAAGTAGAAATGGTGAAGCTGGTGAGACTAATGGAGAAATGCTGGCTGAAGACAGTGAACTAGTGCCAATCGTGCAGCCTGTAAAACATAAAAGTGCTTCCTGTAGCACAAGTAAGTTCATTTCTATTTACACGTATTTTCAAACTTGATTCTTGGTATGAATTGAGTTCCATTTTACCTTTAATTACATGAATGGGCTTATATTATTGTCTAAAAATCACATTGATCAAAGCTGCAAGAATTATGTTTTCGCTTCGTGGATATATTCTTTTCTTTTCCAGCATATTACTTCATATTTTTTTTCGAAATAATTCTACTGTCTTGCTTTCTGTCAAAATATATGCTTCTAACATAATGAACTCAAACTGTTGCCGTGTTGTTTAATCTAATTTATTGCTGAACTCTTTTTCCATAAATGAAGCAATTAAGCAACTGGATTTCATGAAGATGTTTGAGTCTTTGTTATCTTTGATCTGTGTAGTTGGATCCTCCGCTTTTTCAAGTATAGATAAGCTATTCATAAATCTAATCTCTGGTTATGTTTATACCGAGCTTTCTTGCTTTTGATTATGAAGATTTGTGAGGTTGCTTATGATGTCCTGTAGGTGAATATCAAGAACTGCCATCATTTGACAAAGCAATGGAGTTCAATCCAATCAAGCAGCATAGGCATTTTTGCCCCTGGATTATGTCAAGTGGAAATTCTGTTCCTGGATGGGTACAAACACTATCTGCTTTACAAGGTCACTCCTTGTGCAACAATGCAACTTCATCTTCCTCGTTTCAGGTAAAATGAAAATTTTACATCTTGGTTAATTAGAAAAGTACCATTATTTATTTAATTTTTTGTTTTTTTTTTTGAGAAAATGGAGAAACATAGAGGAGCTCATATTTAAAATTACTTGAGAAATGAATGCAAAAATTAAAGGTTCCATCCAAGTTGCAGTCGTTAAAAGGAATAACGTCTCTAGAGCAAACCTCAACCCTATACACTGTTCTGGGATAGACTGTTAAGTTCAGACGGTTAATTAGTTATATTATAGTATAAACCTAGAAAACCGGTTACCAGAAATCTTCATCACTATAAAATTGCAGTATGGAAAATATTAATACCAACTTTACATGGATTCAAGAGATTGCTAATAAGTTCGTGTTCTGAGTTGCATTGTCTATTGACATTGTTTGTGGTTTTGCGTATATGTTTTTTTTGATAGGTCTTTTGTGTATATGTAGTAGTTGAAAAACTGCTATGATGGTTTATTTCTGTGGTTCACAACATTTGCATGTTAGCCTGATTAATAGCACTATGTTTTTGAACTAAGCTGACTGATTATCATGGTGACAATTTGATGGTGATGGTTAAGAGTGTTTTTCACCTTGATGGTCATGAGTCTTGTTGTGGATAAGTTTTTTGTTAATGTTACTGCGGAAAGGAAAGGAGGAAAAGAACGAGCGAGAGAGCGGCTTATAGATTACTTTTAATGTTTTTGGATTCAAAATTTGTCAATACATTTTGATTTATTTAATTGCTTCAAATTTAAATGTAATTAAAGGATTCTTGAATACATGGGGAAAATATTAGATTCTTTTGTCAGCTATGGCAGTAGAAACACTCTGGTGAAGGTAATTTCTGTCATTTCCCCGAAATTTTGTCAGGATTGCTGCACATGATAAAACTTTTGTTGCAAAAGTGCACATAATAATGACTGAACTGTGGTTATGGCATGAATCTTGCTTATGTAATTATTAGTTCATCATGTGTTGATTGTTTGTATTTTTGTTACTGCTGTACAGGTGGATGATCCAGTTGCTTCTGTGAAAAAGCTTTTCACACCTCGCACTGCTAAAAGAACCAAATTTGCTAGTACAAGTTAAAGCATGATGCTAGTTTATCAATGTTATCAGTTGCTAAAATGGGTTAACAATGCATCTCGATCTAAGTCACCACCAGTTGCGTATCTGCACTTCAAATGATCAATCCCTAGTCTCGTTCAATGGACATATATGTTGCCTTATTTTTATTCCCTTCGACCGTCTTGCAATTTTGTTTCTTTAGAGGGTGAAAATGTTGACATTATTTAGGATTTTGCGATCAATGATTATATGTGGAGATGAGTTCTAATCTCCCATATGTTCAGCATAGTGCAATCGAATAGTTGTGATGACAATACAATGAAAACAATAAAGTAAGGTTTGAGTTTGTTCTTCGCGACAGCATTGAAGTGTAGAATAGGATTAGAATAGTATTTGCTGGGTTTCCACGAGGCTTCAATATTTATTAGGCTAATATTTGCACAGGTTACCTAACCCTCGTAAACCCGTCAACTGTAGTGAGCCAAAAACTATGGAACTTGGGTGGTTTTTTCTTTTTATTTATTATTTATCTTGAATGATTGAATCATTACAGGTAGTATGCCCCTGGCCAATCTGCATTTTTTTTTTACCCTGTAAATCTTCCTCTAAAGCAGCTAAGAATTTCATAGTCAGCATATAATTAATTGATCCTGAGCAAAGCGTTTGTGTTAACTGTATTATCTGCATTTGAGAAGGCTAAACAAAGTGAAAAAAAATGGAGGATGATGGTTGTCTGTTAGATTATATAAATTTAAAATTTCATCAATAGTTCATTTTTCTATGCTCAAGTGTAGAATGCGAAAATATTGAATTGTAGTTAAAAGCTGGAAAGTTCATATCAACTCGTACAAAATTGAGAAGGTTATCGGCCATTTTAAAACATATTCAATTGCAACACATGCCTTGGTCGCTGAAAATATTTTGCAACGTGATACATACATTCTACGACTACAATCTTTGTTACTAAAAGAGTTAGTTGAACAGTGTGCCAGAGGTAAAACAGACTTTAAGGCTTCACAGTTTGATGGGGAAAGCCTTGAGAGGCACGGACTTCTGCAATGAAAGCCCAAACTTCTCACTTATGTCAACTTCTTCAGGTTTCATTCCTTTTTCGAGTTTCCAGTGGAAGCTATGAATCAAAGTTGCCACCATGAGATGCACCATTCTGTGAGCCAAAGGCAATCCTGGACAAATCCTCCTTCCAGAACCAAACGGAATGAGCTCGAAATCTTGGCCTTTGAAGTCAATTTCACGGTCTAAGAATCGTTCAGGCTCAAATGAGTCTGGATTTAACCAAAGGCGTGAATCTCTACCAGTTGCCCATACGTTAACAAGTATTTGTGCATCTTTAGGGATTGTATAGCCATCGATTTCTGTATCAACTTTTGCCTTGCGAGGTAATAAAAAGGGGCCAGGAGGATGGTACCTGAAGGTTTCTTTGACCACTGATTGCAAATATGGAAGTCTGGAGATGTCCGATTCTTCAACTTGTTTGTTTCGTCCAACAACAGTCCAGAGCTCATTTCTAGCTTTCGACATTTTCTCAGGATTGCGTATTAATTCAGTCATTATCCATTCCACGGTGCTCGAAGTCGTGTCTGTTCCTGCAATGAATAAATCCTAGTGTGCAAGAAATTAGTGATCTATAATAGCTAACCATTCAATATGAGTTCATTATTCTTTTCTGTAGACCTTTACTATTTTTTAAAAACAGAAGAGGTCGACTATAAACTTGTTTTACTCACCAAAAGTAAATGTTTTAGAATATCCAAGGTTAATTCGGATTCGTTTGTTTGGCTGTAATTCAGGATGGCTTCAAGTAAATCGTTTCTCATTGAATGATCCAGCGACTCGCTTCTCAACTCCAACCGTTGATTGATCAAATCATCAAATATTACAAATACTTTGCTAATGTGACTTTTGGATTTGTGCAGAATACCTTGTGGGTCGATGAATTTGAGAACTGGGAAGAAGTCTGCAAGATTAGGAACCCCTCCAACTTCCATTAAACCCCGTACAAGTTCCTTTGTTTCTTGAGAAGAATTGGAATTAAATTGAGCAAAATCAACTGAGAAAAGGGTGGCTGACACGAGATTAAGTGATGTGATAAACGCGGCACCACCAATATCAACTACTTGATCATTAATGCAACAGTCATGCACATAGTTGCACAATTTCTTCAATTTTTCTTGACGAAGACTCTGACTTGCATCAAGTCTATGTGATGAAAACATTTGTTCTTTACAAATTTTACGAAGATTTCGCCACTGGTTAGCCACAGGCAACCAGGCCACAGACTTCTTGAAATGATCATATGCTGCTGCTGCTGCTGGAATTGTTCGAGAAGAAAGGACTTGATCATGTTTTTGTAGTACTTGTCTGGCAATATCTGGTGACGAGACGACGATTGTTTTTCTGCTCCCTAACTTTAGGTACATGAGAGGACCGTAAGTTTTGGAGAGTTTGGTTAGTGATTGATGGGGTTTTTTGCCAAGTTGAAGAATGTTACCAATTATTGGAAAAGGGAAAGGTCCCGGAGGTAACTTGCCGGATCTCTGGAGCCCTGGATTTGATCTCAAGACACGCCATACTACAAAAGATAATACTACGAGGAAAAATGTTAGAAAATCCATTGATCTTTTCCTTTGTTCCTCTTCGTATGAGACTCCCATGAATTTTATAGCTGCAAATTATGTTCCATGTTTTTCAGTACTAGTCAAAATCATTGCCATTTAGTCTCTCGGAAGACAAATACGAAAGACAAGAATTTCGTCTAATACTTGATTTTTTATGTTGACATGGCTCTATTAGGGTGTCGGATTTATCAGGGAGAACTGGAATTCGAACTCGAGTTTATGGAACTTTCGAACTACGTTATAAGATAAGTTAGTTAATTTTAGAGTCAAGACGTCGTACAATATATTTTAGGATCATTAAAAGCTACAATAATTTTATAATTGCACGATGCAGAAGTTAATAACATTATTCAATTAATATATTTAACTTTGTGCAAATGCCAAACAAACGACTACAAGTTAATGCTAGACCTTAAATTAACCTTTGTAGCACTTTCGATGTAGTTGGCATATAATTCAAAAGGTTGTCACCACCAATCTTTCAATGTATCTTTACTATATGAAAGATTAGAGAAATATTTTTTTGAACGATAATGACCTCAATATTATTTAATAATTCCTAACTCTCTATTTTAGTCTCCGTTTGATTTGGCTAAAATAAAATTTTAAGTAAAATTTGATAAAATATGACAAAATGTACAACTGTAAAATTTGATAAAAGTTATGGATATTATAAAATGTACTATTAAAAATAAGTTTTTGCAAAACTGGGTCAACACATGGGCAGATTTAAGTGGTGTCATGTGGAGGTGAAGCTGAACCCTCCAATTTTTTTTATCTTTTCTTCTTTTTCTTTTTGTGGAGTACGGTTCTTTCATAATTAACCTAAGTGTAAAAAATCTCAGTGCTCATTATATTTTCAACATTATTTTTTAATTGTCGTTGAACTTTATTATTATTATTTATTTTTATAGTAATCATACTCTAAAAGTTATTATTTTTTTTTAAATAGTTGTTGGACTTTTATTTTTTAACATATGGTTACTGTTATTTCCATATTATTTTTTTTAAAAAATTAACAATTTCATTTTTCATGTTATAGAAATCGTTAATTTTGAGCAAAAGAAATCAAGAAAATTTTTAATACCTTCATATTTTCTATCTCGAAATATTTTCTTAGCTTCACATCCATTGGTGTATTAGCCAATTAAGTGATCAAACTCTTCTATTGAGAAAGTAAGGGTTTTATTTTATCTGTTAAGAGTCAACAATGGACTTCCTTGTTTGTAATTCAGAACAGAAGTATGCATTTAGCTATCAAACCTTCTTGGAACCATAGAACTGCTGAAATCTTGCTTTTACAGTATTTGAATACTCATTTTGACCATTTCTAATACCAAACCTCTCTCGTATAATTTCATCAGAGGGAATCCACAATCTCCAGGTAAAGAATGAAATTGTAGGAGGAATAATATTGTTCCAGATCTGTTCTTTTGCTGAATGGAAGATCTTTCTCTAAGCAAGTCATAGCATGATTGAGTTTCAAATACCTGCAATAATCAAATACCTTGGTTATATTTTACACTGAATTCATTCTACTGATGTTATTGCAAACATGTTTCTCTAGTTGTTACACCACTGTCTATCACATTGTTTCAGCACCAGCATCTAGCAGTTAAGCAACTGTATATTCAACGACAACACATGCCAGGTCGCTGAAAGTACTAAAATATATAGCAACAAAATATAAACATTCTACAACACAATGTTTGTTGCTAAAAGACTGACTCAACGACTAATAGAGTCTGCAAGGGAAAACAGACTTTTGGGTTTCACAGTTTGATTGGGAAAGCCTTGAGAGGAACTATCTTCTGTATTGAAAGACCAAATTTCTCACTTATGTCTACTTCTTCGGGTTTCATTCCATTTTCGAGTTTCCAGTCGAAGTTATGAATCAGAGTTGCCACCATAAGATGCACCATTCTATCAGCCAAAGGCAATCCTGGACACATTCTCCTTCCCGAACCAAATGGAATGAGCTCGAAATCTTGGCCTCTGAAGTCTACTTCACGGTTTGGAAACCGTTCGGGCTCAAATGAGTCTGGATTTAACCAAAGACTTGAATCTCTACCAGTTGCCCATACGTTAACAAGTATTTGTGCATCTTTAGGGATTGTATAGCCATTGATTTCTTTGTCAACTTCTGCCTTGTGAGGTACTAAAAAGGGGGCAGGAGGATGATACCTAAAGGTTTCTTTGATCACTGATTGCAGATATGGAAGTTTTGAGATGTCCGATTCTTCAACTTGTTTGTTTCGTCCAATGACAGTCCAGAGCTCGTTTCTAGCTTTCGACATTTTCTCAGGATTGCGTATTAATTCAGTCATTGCCCATTCCACAGTGCTAGAAGTAGTGTCTGTTCCTGCAACGAATAAATCCTAGTATATGCAAGAAATTAGTGATCTATAGTGGCTAATCAATCAAATATAAGTACATCGTATCCTTCTACCATTTTGTAGACAGGAGATTGTCAAAGTTAATTGGTTTCATAAAGAGACAGTAAACTGGTTCTTCAGATATTTGTGCAGTATGGAAATTTGAGTGCTGTAAAACTTGGTTTTACCCACCAGAAGCAAATGCTTTAGAACATCCAAGGTTAATTCGGATTCGCTTGCTTGGATGTGATTCAAGATGGCTTCTAGTAAATCGTTTCTCACTGGATGATCCAGCGACTCACTTCTTGATTGCAACCGTTGATCAATCAAATCATCAAATATCACAAATACTTTACTAATGTAACTCTTGGTTTTGCGTAGAATACCTTGTGGATCAATGAATTTAAGAACCGGGAAGAAGTCTGCAAGATTAGGAATTGCTACATTTTCCAACAAACGCCGTACAATGTCTTTCATTTCTTGAGAAGAATCGGAATTAAATTGAGCAAAATCAGTTGAGAAAAGAGTGGCTGAGATGAGATTAAGCGACGTGATAAACACAGCATCACCAATATCAACTACCTGATCACTAATGCAACAATCATGCACATAGTTGTACAATTTCTTCATTTTTTCTTGACGAAGACCCTTGCTTGCATCAAGTCTATGCAACGAAAACATTTGTTCTTTACAAAGTTTACGAAGATTTCGCCATTGGCCAGCCACAGGCAACCAGGCCATAGATTTCTTGGAATGATCATATGCTGCCATTGATGCTGGAATTGCTCGAGAAGAAAAGACTTGATCATGATCTTGTAGTACTTGTTTGGCAATTCCCGGGGATGAGATGACGATTGACTTTCTGCTCCCTAGCTTTAGACACATAAGGGGACCATAAATTTTGGAAAGTTCGGTTAGTGATTGATGGGGGTTTTTACCAAGTTGAAGAATGTTACCGATAATTGTAAATGGGTAAGGCCCCGGTGGTAACTTGCTGGTTATCTGGCGCCTTAGATTTGATCTCAAGACATGCCACACTAGAAAAGATAATACTACAAGAACAAGGGTTAGGAACTCCATTGATTTTTTCTTTTGCTTCAATATGTTTGGAACTAAAAGATAAGGCTACAGATTTGTCCGTACAAAAAGATAAAACTACAGTTTCTAATGCAATTGATTTTTTATATTGATTTGTACCAATCACTTCGTGATCTCTCTCTCTGCAAGTGGATTTCATTTTCATCTAAAGGATTGTCTATCCACAAAAAAATGTAATTGTACCGACACTAATTTGTACACAAGTTACAGAGTGCCATCTGCAAAAATTAGGGGTGGACGCGGGTCTTTTCGATTCGATTTTTTTTTTTATATTTCAAAAATTTTCGGGTATTTAGTAAATGAAACCGTCGGTTCCAAATATAATTTTGGAACCGTTCGGGTTCGGTTCGATTCGATTTTGTTCGGTTCCGTACTATAATTAAATTTTTTAACATTTAAAATAATATTACATAAATACACCTGAAAGTAGAT